GGTTCAGCAAATATTCCAGAGGAGGTGTTCCTTCACACGATTTAAAAATGCAACTAGAAGTTGACATCTTAAAAATTCTGATCTTTAGATTAGAATTTGGATATATCGTTTGGATGCAGGAATGTTTCAGTGAATACTTTTACACATTCAAAAACAGTTTATTGGGCAATTAAATGTAAATGGGGAGGTTTAAAGGTTCTAAAAGATTGACACAGTTCATAAGAAGTACAAAGATGATAAGTTTGGATGCTAAAAAAAAAGCTAGTTAGAGGATCTCCTCTCTTGGGTTTTTAGTCAGTAGTGGGTTCTTTACTTTCTCCCTTATATGTAGTTTTCCCCTCCCCCTTTTCTGTTGTAGTTTTTTGTAGTGTTAAAAAATCAATAAAAAAATCCCCTCCGGGGGCTCAAAAAACAAAAAAACAGTTTATGAATATACATTTTGCCAGTTCTGTTCCTGGGACAGGTAAAAACTAAGCTGGTAAAGCTTGTCTTGCCAGAGAGATAAAAGTGACATCACAGATCACAAGCTGAGAGACAGCAAAAAGTCAATAACATGCAGGCAAGTAACTGGTTTCCCAGTTAAGTCCAATATAGCACCACTTGGGATCTAACTTTCACTACATGGATATATTTAAAGCAATTGACTCCTAAGGGCCATTTATACAATATCTCAATATCCGCAAACAAGAATGACTGATCAAAATTATCCTGTGACTTGAAAATGTGAATTATTATTTCACAAAACTAAGGGGGGAGGAGTCTTCCCTGACCAGTTTCCCTGACATTCTGAAAACAAAAGGCAGCAACATCTCTTGCAACAGCTCCATAGCATTAGCCTCTGACAAGTGATAATGTCTGTGCATCTGCAGTCTTGATTATACTTAACCCTCTTATGGAGTGAACATTCACTTTCAAGCAGTTACCTACTGGGGTCATTGAAAAGACTACAGCAAACCTGATGGTGCGTGTGTGGCGGTGGTGGGAGAATGCGAAGGAAGGGCAGCAGGGCTGCTGAGTGTCTGGTTGCTGGACTCGGCACTGAGGACTGCGTGGGGGAGAAGGGAGGAGCTGCTGGGTGGAGAGGTCTCTGTAGTAACAAAAGTACCGTGGTCTTATTACCAGTAGTAGGATACAAAGTTCGAGTATGAAAAAGAGGCAACTTTGAAAGCAAGGAAGAGAGGATGATGCTCCTGATCGCTTGCAAAGTCTTCACTCAGGGCAGCAATCTACCATGCTGATCCAAACAAAAAAAAATTGTGCATGGCATTTCACACATTTATTTATTCATTTCAAACATATATAACCCGCCATTCTGCCCACTTAGGCCCCTTCATCCAGCGACAGTTACAGACAATCCAAATAACTTTAAGATCAGTAAGGTTCCCTTGCTCGAAAGCCAGTCGAATCCGACTCGAGGGTTGCGGTGCTCATCTCCGTTTCAAAGCCGAAGAGCCAGCGCTGCCCGAAGACATTTCCGTGGTCATGTGGCCGGCATGACTAAACACCAAGGCACACGGAACGCTGTTACCTTCCCACCGAAGTGGTCCCTATTTATCTACTTGCAATTTCTTGCTTTCGAACTGCTAGGTTGGCAGGAGCTGGAACTAGAGATGGGAGCTCACTCCGTCATGCGGCACCCTGGGTCTCGAACTGCTGAACTACCGACCTTCCACAGCCTGCAGTTCAGTGTCTTAACCACTTGAGCCACCGCAGATCAGTACATGCTGGTAAAACCTAGGGCAACCAGGTTGCCTGCTGTCGTTGGCAAGCTAGTACTCCTGGCCCCCAGGCTCCCACTGCTGCTTTGTGGAGCAGGGAAGGGAAAATGGGGGGCAGGGAACTCTGGCGTCACATGATATCATAGCATCACTTCTGGGTACATACGTCACAGAGTCATGCAACACTCTAGGAATACCCCAAGTCTCTGGGAAATTCTTAGAGCATCACATGATGCTGTGACATCATTTCTGGGTATGTACCAGATCTCCCTAGGTTTTACACTTATGTACTGTTTTGAACACAGTTTGTCTTGTCTTTTTAACTGTTCGCCTCAAAGCTCCCAGGTTGCCAAGGGTTGGCAACCCTAATAAAACCCGCAATTAAAACTAACAAAAAGGAGGGTTGGTAAGGGAATTCCAAGCATTCTACAATTCCGAGGATTACCTCTTGCCATTCAGGGGATCCATACACACTTCACTGATATGAGTCTCACGGCCTTCTGTCCCAGAGGTCAGTAAAGGCGGAGGTCTTAGTAAAATACTTTATGCTTTATTTAACCATATTTGTTATATTTTGGGACTTCTTCATAGAATGATCATTCTTTGGGAAGAAGCCATGACTCTCATAGGGGCCCAGTGTACAGTACAGACGGAGGTCTGGAACCTGGCCTCACTCATTCATTCCTACATAGAAGTTACTCCCACAGTTCTTATGAATTGCCACCTGATTAGAGGAAAAAACAACCTGGAATGTTCTTGTGTCTTCAAAAGGAACAAAATAAAATAAAAGTACAGTGGCACCTTAAAGACTAACAACATTTATTTTAGGTGGTTAATCAAATTGGTCTGAAGCAAAAGAACCAAGTTTGAGTATAATGGTGAAGAAGTATGCATGCACATGAAAGCTTATACCCAGGGCTCTACTGGTAGCAGGAGCTCCTTTGCATATTAGGCCACCCTCCCCCTAGTGTAGCCAATCCTCCAAGAGCTTACAGTAGCCCCAGTAAGAAGAGCTCTGTAAGCTCTTGGAGGATTGGCTACACTAGGGGTGTGTGGCCTAATATGCAAAGGAGCTCCTGCTACCAGTAGAGCCCTGCTTATATCCAAAATTAAACTTTGTTGGTCTTAAAGGTGCCACTGGACTCAAACATTTATTTCAATACTGAAATAAATGTTGCTAGTTTTAAGGTGCCACTGGTGGCACTTTGGGCAATATCATAAGGATAAAGTACTATATGGCTGCTTACTGTCCTTATTAACTAGTCATGTCAGTGTTTACTTTTTAGGACTCATAAAATGGCTGCTTTCTCATTTCCTAACTTATGCTCTGTACACCTCAGTATACATTACAGAGTTGGTCACCATGTGTTGTTTACCAGATTGCATTCTCCTCAGGCTCTATACCCAAATGTCCAGGAGTTTTCCAACCTGGATCTGGCAACCCTGCATCTCCCACCAGTGGCCAGGGGGGACCTGACAACCCATGATATAGGTAAACCCATGATACCCATGATATAGGTAAACCACCTTGAGTCTTCATTGGGCCCAGAAAAAGGTGGTCTATAAATTTTTTTTAATGTGTGGAAATAACTCTTGCTTCTATACACGGTATCACTGACTCAGTAACATGAACAGAGTTTAGAATAATAGGATATTTATTTCTCTAATAAGTCTGCAGCATGATGTATTATTTTGAATGAGACAAATTGTATACTTTTAATTCTGCCACTTTCTTTCATAATTCCTGAAAGGTGAACTATATTTTTAAACAAAGTAAAAACAACTTTATAATCATATGCTCTTTAATCAGCATGTATATATGCAAACAAGACGGAGTTAAAACTGGTTCAGATCACGTGGATGGACTACTTCATCCAAGTAATTAGTCAAGCACAAAATACTTCATTAGTTTAGGTTCTTAGAACACACAACATCACAAGGATGAAATGGGCCACAAACCTTTTATAATATGTGGCTGCATTCTGTCCTTAGGAGTTACTCACGGGAGTGCTTATGATTTAAACCTCATAAAATGGCTGCTTCTTCATTTCTCATCTTATTTAACGCTTCAGAACATAGAGCCTTTCCATCCCACAGTGTCTACATTACTGAGTTGGTCACTACCTGTTATCTGCCACACTGCATCACATCATCCCATTGTTTTTGCCACCTAATCAACACCTAATACAAACAGGCACTCAACACTTGGCCATGAGTGTGTGTAACTGACCAAGGACATACACCTTCTGAGAGAAAACAACAGATAATTGGTACCGGAAATATCTCCCCAGCAAACCTGTGATGTTGCTGTTAGAACTAGTGCTGGTTATGGAAACAGACTTTTCGGTAGAATTAGAGGTCTGTCCAGGAACTGTTGGAGTTGAGGTAGAGCCATGTTGTTCTTCAGAGATGCTTGCAGGTGAGCGTGGAGTGGAGTGTGCAGGTATGAAGGAAGGGCCAGGAGCTTGGGGGGAAAACCAACAAATTAGCCACGTGGAAGCATCTGCTAAGCACTGTACAGAGCACAGAAGTGATGTGAACCTTCCTAGGGGCTTAGAAATCTAATACCCTTGAACCAGGCTGCATCTCTGTAGTCCTTGTTAGTTAATCCAGTACCATTACTGCTCTTTAACCCAATTTTAGACATTCAGAGATGGTGAATAAATGGGAGGACTAGTGGGTTTGTGCTGTTGGCACTCCCATATTGATTCATAGGTTGCAACAGAACCCGCGTACTTGCAAATTGTATGTATGCAGGATCCGTTCACATGGTGTATACCATGTGCAGAACCTATGTATACAAAAGTTATACATGCACGGGCATTTCAGATCAGGGCATGAAGATGAGTAGCTAAGAGAGTGGGCCTCTCCAATCAAAGCAAAGTGATCTAGAAATTTTAGACATAAAACAACAACAAAAACAACAACAAACCATGTTTTTTGAATGTCTGGAAAGTTCAGTTCTAAGCAAACATTCACTAACTCAATAAAGTCAAACAGTTTTAAAAATGGGACATTTACTTTCCTGATAAAATCCTTGTTTGTAATATACCAAATTGTATACTTTTAACTCTACGACTTTTTTATTTCATAACTTTGTCTGAAGGCTAAACTATATTTTCAAAATAAAATAAAGTCAAATGGAGAAGCGCATACTCTTTAATTGGTATCTAAATACAAAACTATGATAAATAAAGTTAAAACCCTAACATATAAAGGCAGGTCAAAGATGAAGAGAGGGAAAGTAGGGCAAAGAAACAGAAGGATGGGAACAGAGAGTGATTAATGGTTAGGATTAATGGTAGAGGATTCAATATAGGCCAAAGTAGTTCAGGGAATCTGATTACTGTTAAGTGATTATTTGTGACAAAAACAAATTCACTCTGAGACAAGTGACAGCCTGGAAATGTTGCTCTTCAAATTCAGAAAAAGAAACAGCTTTAACTTATTCTTAAACATGTATAAATTCTTGTGCATATAATTTTACTCCATTTAAAATTAACTAAATCCTCCCGGGATGTATCTTCTATTTCCTTGACAAATCAAGAGATCAGGTCAGTCTTTTCCCACTTCCTTCCCTTCCTAGACTGCTACCCATGTCGGGTTTTCTCTACCACTGACTGCCCTCCCCTTCAACCCCTCTCTTGTCCCTAGAGAGCTCTGCTTCCATAGGACCTTTGCAAACTCATTGTCCCAGTCCAGATGATGACTAGTGTATATACTGTTTATATTTACATAATTTTGATATGCATTTTAAAATGTGATCCATGCTGTATTTTATCTATGCCAATAAAGGTTGACTGACTGACTAGTGTATATCAAATATTTCCCAGAAGAGAAATTGCAAAGTATCATCTTACCAACTTTAGCATGATATGTTGTTTCTGGTGGTGTTGTCACTGGAAAGGAGAGAGAAAAAATCAAGAATGAGAGTAGTATAGTCAGAGGGACAATTTCTACATTTATCCATGGGGCAGGGAGCATCTGATACCCTTAAGCAAGCTTTGGCCGAGGAAAGACTTGCTCATATTTACTTTAAAATGTCTACCCTATGAGCACGGCTTTATGATGCCTGTGGGGCAGCTACCAATGTATTATAAACAGGACAAAATCCCGGACAGTATAACTTTCTTACGAGTCTTCAAAGGCACTAGGGCTGCCAAGTCACCCTGGGGGGCGGGGAAACCCCCGCCCCAGAGGCCCGTTCCCCGATGCCGGGGAATCGGGCCCCGGGGGGAACCCCGCCCCGGCGTGCGCGTCACCAGGAAGTGATGCTATGACGCCGGGCACGCTGGGGGCGGGGCCACGGCCATACAAGGGAAAACTCTATGGTCTTGCACCAAAAACTATACCAAAATGAATTGTGTGGTGTTATACTATGGCATGGGAATGGATGTTTGTATCAGTAAAACACAGTACACACATAAATTCCAAAGGAAAGATCTAGCATTGGTTATTAGATATGATGGCTAAATAAAACCTCCATGTTCTGAGACAGACGGGCATACATTTCTAAACAACATTTGGTGACGTGAACCTGCAGTGGGAGTCATTTCTGGGTATGTGGGAGTCTGTTCTGTTGCCTTAATTCTCTGCCTGCAGGCTTTTCAAATGCATTTGGTTGGCCATTGTGATAAGCAGGATGTTGGACCAGATATATCTTTCTTCATGTCTAGCAGGGCTTTTTAATATTTACTATTGGAAGACTTAGGTATTGGGAAGATTTTGACATACCAGCTTAGATGTCATGTAAATAGTTCAGCTGAGCAAGAAGTATCCTGGTATCTACAGTTAATATGGACTGTTCTAAACCACTGATCTTATGCCTCAGAAACCTGTCTTACAAAATATACTTTATAAACATTAAAAACTGCAGGAGGAAAAAAAGAGTTCTCCATTGTGGTACTTACCCAGCATTCAGAATAAATTCTATAAGTTTAGCTACACGTACAATTTAAAAGATTTTGCAGTACACATTTCGGAAAAGTAATTAAGAGCTAAAATGTTTTTGTTCATCAGAATATACTGATGGATTTGGGAACTGCAAAGGGGTCAAATAAAACCAGGTAAATCATCCATTACCTGTGGTATTAAATCAGTGAGAATCACCAGTCTTCAGTACTTAACACATTTATTCAAGGCTGCCACTACTACATTCACTTGGAATATTTGCTCTTGTTCTTAGATTCACATGGGGAGCCATGTTGGTCTGAAGCAACAGAACACTTTGAATCCAGTGGCACCTTTAAGACCAACACAGTTTTATTCAGCGTATGAGCTTTCGGGTGCAGGCACACTTCTACAGATACAATGAAATGAAAATTACCACTCCATACAGTCTACCTATATATATGGACTGGTATTTTCCATTTCATTGTTTCTGAAGAAGTGTGTGCATACACGAAAGTTTATACCCTGAATAAAACTGTGTTGGTCTTAAAGGTGCCACTGGACTCACACTTTGTTCTGCTCTTGTTCTTGTAAGCTTGCAAGGCACTAGGAATGCCAGTATCTCCCATTAGTTTTTTCCTTGGCTTATAAGAATAGTGTTTCGTAAAAAATCAATAGATGGCACCATAACATCAAAAACTGTAACCAACTGCATGCAGCAGATATTTGTTTCATATAGATCATGATAGAAGTAAGTCACCAGGCCTCCTTTGAAAGAATGAATTAAAAATCAGAGGGTAGCTGATAATTTATCTATTAACTGTTTTTATTCTGGTTCTGCAGTTGTGTCCCCTTTAGAACAAGACGATTTAAAACAATAAACAAACCCTTCTCCAACCCCCAAAGACCACTTTCTCCCTACCTACAGGGCACCAGAAACTGCCATGACTCAACAAAGACCTGGATGGAGCAGACAATACTTGACCAGGTAGGGTTGCCAATCTCCAGGTGAGGTCAGAGCTGCCAGAATTATGATTCATCTACAGATCACAGAGATCAGTCCCCCCTTTAGAAAATGGCAGTTGCAGAGGGCAGACTCCATGGCATCACATCACTGCTGAGCTCCCTGCCCAAACTCTGTCCTTTCCAGTGTCCACCCCCAAATGTCCTGGAACTTTCCTACACAGCATTGCTAACCCTATGATTAGGTCCAGTTTTGCAGAGAGATGCATTCCCCCCCGCCAGATCAGTAAATGGGGAGGGGGATCTTGGGCGGATCACTAGGCTTGCCAAGTCCCCCCGGGGGGCGGGGAAACCCCCACCCCAGAGGCCTGTTCCCCGCCGCTGACAGATCGGGCCCCGGGGGAAGCCCCACCCTGACGTGCATGTCACCCGGAAGTGACGCGACCACACCGGGCACACTGGGGGCGGGGCCACGGTCATCCGAGGGAAAATTCTATGGTTTTCCCTCGGATGGTCATGGCCCCGTCCCCAGCGTGCCCGGCGTGGTCACGTCACTTCCGGGTGACATGCGTGCAGTGCACATGCACTCCAGCCGCCATCTGGAAGTCCCCCGCTGCGGCGCGACACCGGACTTGGCAACCCTACGGATCACTGTCTCTCAGCCTCATTTACTTTATAGTGCTGTTGTGACAATAAAATGGAGAAACATGTACTAGACATGTATCCCTGAGCTGGGTGGTATAAACATTTACTAGACAGGAAAAGAGAGAAAAAAACCCCATGCAATTTCCAAAGAAGATTTGGGCAGTTCAAAAGTCAACAGAGCACCATACTGAGGGAATCTCAGTACCCACACTGAAAACTTCCATAGAGGTTTTACTGTCATAGGAGACTACTCTGTACCTCACAAGAGTGCTCTGCCTTCAAGAAAAAAAAAATGTTAGTGTTTGCCACAAGTGCCTGACTTTCCCAGGCCAGGCCAGTTACTTCTGACCTACCAGAAGGGGACACGTTAAAACTCTCCATACGATTAAGACACTACTTTATTTGTTTCCCTGTTTGTTGTGGTACATGTAACATAAGGCAGAAGGATTGTTGTTTCTTAAACTGCCGACTCCCTGGTTGTTCCAGCAGTCTATGCACTAAGAAGGCTGTTAGCAGAATTGTCAACAGGTTAGTTTTCCACTGGCATGACTGATTCTGCCTACTGGTTGGGTGCCAGATGAATGTGGGTTATATAATGAAGAGAATAGGAAAGAGGCTGTCTTTGTACAGTTTAGCACCATTTAAATCAAATGAATTTTTTGTGGTATACCTTTAAGATCTTTGCAGCATTACGTTTGGAGCTTATTTTAACTTTCACTTTCAGCCCAGGCTTTCCCATGCCTCAAAAACAGCTTCTCTAAAAACTGTAGCTATCTTCTGCTGACTCTTCTGCTTCCCTTTCCCTTCTGGTATCTCCTCAGCCAGAAAAAGAGAGATGGAGAGTTGTTCATCTTAGATAAATCAGAGAGAGATTATTTTCTGCCAGTTCTTCCAGTTGAGTCCTTCACTCTGCCATTTGATCCATGTTTATCCTACTGAGCTCCACCTTTGGACCCCACTGTTCTTGCCCCTGGGTGGGTGCCCTTACCTAGTTTGTGTCTTCCAAAAGTTAGGAAGTCCTAGCTGTGAGCTGAGGCCCGCAGGTTTGCTATACCATGTTCATGCATCATTCTTTTTTTCTTTCTCCTGTTCTGGTTTTTTATATCCCTTACTCCAAATGAAGTTTTGTGGGAGTTCATGATGCCTCTTTTGTGAAGCTTAAATATGACATTCTTCTGCTTTATTGCTGTCAGATTCCCAGATCTCAGTACTTTCTCCCACTCTGTGTAGGCTTTTAAATGTCATGGAATGTGGCTCCAAGCAATAAAGCATATGCACAGGTGTGTTGTGGCAGTGCACTCAGTGCATATGTATTACCATCACATACCATTGTTCAGTTCCAAATACATCTTTTTAAAAGCCCTGTCTCTGTTTCCCAGGAACAGTTTCTGTTTTCTAGTAGCTTTCCCCAGAAAACCACTTTGCCAGTTTTACCACTCAGGGAGATTTTTGGTTTGACTTTTGAAATATTCGTTATTATGCACACACTTGTCCTCAAGTTCTTCAGGTTTTCTTTGCCCTTTTGGGTCTCTCTCAGTATGTTGGGGGAGAGATTGGGAGTCCTGTGTGTCTTGTCAGTGGGCTACGTCTCTTCTGCTTCCTCCCCCATAACAATATATCCAGATAACACATGTTGTTGTAGGTGTCTGAATTGCAGCTGTCCTATAACAATTACAACCAGATCCCTTGTGAGATAAAAACATTCTGACATTTCATTTTTACACTTCTGTGGCTACACAACAGCCTACACAAGCCATTGCAGTTCAAATTGCTACAACAAATAGGAGGCTAGAAAAAAACCCAGTTCTCTGGAAAAACCAGAACGCTAAATCTGGAAATGATTTCTGATGACTCCTCAAGATCAGGGCCGGTGGGAAAGAACCACATACGATCTTTGGAGGAGGAAAGAGCCATCTGACATAGGTTAGGCAATAAAATCTGGCTGGAAGTCAGATCTATGTTTAAACTTAGGGGCAGCTATGACTACAAAGAGATCTCCGGGCAAACATCGCTTCCCACTGCATATCCAAAGAACTGCTGCGCAAAAAGTGAAGATCCACCACATCCTGCAACTGAAGTTTGCAAGCAGTTTATACATCACACGTGCACACATGCACATAGACATGCACACACACCTGCAACTGCATTCACTGATTTTTATCAACTTTCTTTTTTAAAGTTAAGGCACCATACCTTGGCTCTGGAAGGTTCAAGCTTCCAAAGGCAAAAAGCAATTTATAGCATAACAAAAAAAAAATTAAAGAGTAAAAACAATACAGTACAGTCAACAGCAGCAGCGAACACATAAAGTGTCCCCTTAGGCCTTTTGGAAGCAATAAAGTTTGCATCCTGTTGAAGAGCGTAGCAGCAATGAGCCCCATCAGAGAGGTCATCCCACAGT